ATAATTCAATGATAAAATGTAATAACGTGCTTTAACCAGTAGGTGTCCCTTTCTATCAGCTGTGCACGTTATGGCTAAATACAGCATATCTACCAATTGGATCAAATATAAAAGTCAGCCGAATTAGTGTTGATACTGCAAGGAGACGTATTGTGTGAAAAGAAATGTAAGATGTTGTTTAATTGCTTATATATTTAAGATCCACGTCAAGTTTTCAGTTTTGGCGGCAGTTCCTGTTTGTCTAGAAGTCTTGTCATCAGGGCTCTATAAATAGAGTTAACTACGGCAGATATGTCATATTTAATGCAGCCGAAACGTGTATTACAATGCCGTTATGTGATGACTTTCAAAGAGAAAAGCAAGAACACTCGGAATAATGTATTATTTAATTGTTTTATACAGTCTATGGTTGCTACAGAGGATTGTGGGTAATGTCATGTCTTCGGCCATCCAAAACTCATAGAAAACGACTTGTTTCTCAGAATTGAAGGGGAAAACGTGACAAAAGCATTGAACACACACTAAAACCTATCAATGTCGTTTAATTAACAAGATAATCTGGTGTTTTTGAGTTGATGAGTAGTGCAGATATCACTGTCAAATCAATCGACAGTAAGGGGAATACTTACTTCCGGGTGTACAATCCTCCGTTATCCAATGGGAATGGACGCTCACATTGCCTTTAACAGCCTCCGACACAAACGAATGCCGTGCTTCCCTAAGCGTCAAATACCGACGCCGATGGGAATACATTGCAATCAGTTGAAAGCTCTTTGCGTCCGTTTATGAAGCTGAAGGAGCCTCGGCGCGTCACAACTGGACGCCACGGGACCCTGACCAAGCGTCGCTCCTGGACGTTTATGAAGTGAGAGTGTGTTGGATATTAACACGTTCCTTTACGATACCAATTCATCTGTTACTGATAAATAATTTAGGGTTATTAATTATCAATACATATATTTGGTGCCCTCTGTGAGGCCCAATGTGAAGCAGAGTTTTTACGTAATTTGTTTTTTTAGATACACAATGGAAACATTTGTGCACAAAATGTCAGAAACTGTTGCAAGGAAGTTCTTCCATCAGCACGGTCTGGACTTGGCTGAAGCTGCTGTCTGCAGGTCGACAATTTGATGTCCTTGTGGTCATGTGACCCTAAAGAGTCCTGACGTTGTTTGTGTGGAATAAGGAGGGCAACGCAGGACCTGTGGAGGAGAACTGTAGGCCCAGATGCTTTGGCACAAGCAATAACGGAGAAAGGGAAGGGAGATTGACGGGGAGAAAACAAGAAGAATTCAAAGAAATGGCGAGGAGGAGGAGAAACTGTTTTTGGAGCTTTTCTTTCTGACGTGTTTAGATATTAATCTCATCTTCTGTTTTTCACTATAGGAAGCAGGTTAGCCTAGCTTAGCATAGTGACTGCAAACAGAGGGAAACAGCTAGCCTGTAACTAAGTCCATTTATTTTACATTTCTGAGGTACTTTACATGAGTTTTTCTGCTGTACCTTATACTGCTCACCCTGCACTATATACCTGACCGTTTTAGATACTTTGCAGATTGAGATTAAGTTTAATAAAATACATTATAGAATATTTTTTCATGTATTATTTCAGGTTAAGATAAAACTGCATTGGTTCCTTCGTACCATTCTGGCAGAATTTAAAGGGGACCTATCATGCAAAATGCACTTTTGTACGTCTTTTCTACATGAATATGTGTCCCCGGTGTTCCAGGGAACTCACCAAGTGTCAGAAAACACAACCCTCTCTATTTTCCTCCATCCCCAAATCTCTAAAAAAGGGGCTGCAACGGATCTGATAAAAACTGATCCAGATTTGAACACTGTCCTGACGTCAGGAGGAGACAGCCACGGCCATTGCCGTTTGAAAGCGCTGGAGACGCTGTAGTACATATGCCAGGCCTGTAAGTGGCGCTGTAGTCTGCCACAAAAGCAGCGAAGAAGACTTGGTTACCATGGTTACCCTTCTGTTTATTCTCCGCTGTGGCTTTCTTTCTCCCTCCCCGAGGCAAGCGTTTGCTCCCGCTGCTTTAATTCAATGCAATCCCTCCCCGTCGAGGCAAGCACTGTAATTCTCTCCGGTTAGTCCACCAGCAGATGACAAACACCCACCTCTCCGCCTCTTCCAAGGAACGAGGGGACCGTGCGGCAGAGTTTCAGTTTCAGTTTCTTTCACCGGTCAAGATGTCCGTTAAAGTTTAAATCTTCCGGACAAAATTAGAAAAGTGCCGGTCAAATGTCTTCTTTGTTATTTATTGAGCTTTAAAACAAATGAATAACGACTCTATATAATAAAACACGGAGGACGGAGATCTCTTTTTCTCCCCCTCTTCTGACAGCCCAGCAGCTGATCAGAGCACGTCTCCCCTCTCCTGCAGGGGGCCGTGGTCAGCAGAATCAGACCCGTAGACAGCAAAGAGCACATAGAGCGAAATGAGGCATGGCTAAAATGCATGATCTGTTTGGTATTTTGAAAACAGAAACGTATAAATATACCTTATATAGGTATGGCCCTACAATATATCATTTAAATATAGCATGATAGGTTTCCTTTAAAGTGAAAACGACTAAATAGCTGTTTTATATAATTGATCAGTGCTTCACAAAGACTCCTCCAGTGGCACAGTTTGGTAAATACAGGTATAGAATTAGAGGACGAATATAGTAATGGTTAAATAAATTGCAGTTGAACAGAATTAAAGACCAGACCTCCTCTATTTATGGACTTGCTCTGCAAAATTGGTTAAACGTCTTCTTTCTTTACACCCTGTGGACAAAAACTCCTTATTTTCTACCAACAAAATATATTTGTGTCAATAAAAATATGTTTTTTTGAGCATTTATTGATGAAATATTATTGGAAAGGCAATGATTGTCATGTATTTGATGTTATAGTCTTTATTAAACAAGGACCATGCATCAAAAACATTATTCTTGAAAGAGAAGAGATGCCAGATTAAAACTAATTTCCATCTGCAGCCACTGATATAAATCCATGTAGACGCAGGAAAGGGGATTACATATCAACTATATGCAAAGAGGGCTTAAGAAAAACATGTATTTGGATGTACTTTTGATCACTTTATATCCCTCAAAGCAAATAACTGTTATTAAAAGTAATTCTTAACCCTAACCCTATCATTCTGCTAACATGTACAATATTACAATCACCATAAAACTATTGGAGGAATTCAGGTTAAAGTACTTCATGTCTCCTTGTTTGCTGATGGTGAAAGACTGAAACAACGCTGACTCACTGTGAGTTAATATCAGAGTCAGGATCTAATTTTAGAGTTTTTTTATTGCAAAACCAAGGACACACACACACACACACACACACACACACACACACACACACACACACATACACACACACACACACACACACACACACACACACATACACACACACACACACACACACACACACACACACACACACACACACACACAGTCCAGATGTTTCATACACAGGTCACACACAACAGACAGCATCATGATTCTTTAAAGATGTTTTACAAATAGTTTGGTAGTCGTTAAATAATATTATATGTTAAATGTTTTATTATGTGAAACAATAAACTGTAAATAGAAACTGTAGTAACGTAATCAAAAGTTAATATGTATTGTCTCCTATCAGATGTCATAAATATATATGTATTCATGATAAGATTATGGAACAATTACAAAATAAAGCTTAACTTATAATTCATAAAAACATATTAATCATCATCTAATTATTTGTTCATTTTGTTGTAAAATATGAAACACTGATCTCTGCTGCCTCCTGCTGGTGAAACACAGACATGCACACTGAGCTCCTTTTAATATTCATTCACCATTTCTGTTTACTTTCCTTTAAGTCAGTCGTTGGTTAATTAAAAACAACATATCTGTGTTTGAATGAATCCTATACAACAATACAGACGGTCTAAATATATATGTGGAGGCGTGTGGCGCAGTGGACTAGTGCGTTGGGCAAGACGCTTCACCCCAAATTGCTCCTGTGGGGATTGTCCACAGTATTGAGTATGTAAGTCGCTTTGGATAAAAGCGTCTAACACGTAACATGTAATGTAATGTAATGTAATGTAATGTAATGTACAGATGAACTCTTGAAGAATAGGGTTGCTCTCAGGAATCCAAAAGACATTTGGTGCATTAAAAACATCTTAAAACGTGTTTATCTGCATATTTGAAGACGTTGAAAGGCATTATTGTAGGTTTTCAGTTTCTCTAGCATTCTAGTATTTGTGTAGTATCTCTTAAAGAAATCAAAACGAAATTAATACCAACAACACTTATTCTAAAAGTGGGGCAGGAACGACTTAAAAAATGTCTCGGGTGTTAAATAGTTTAAATTTAGTCTTCAAAATTCATTTTAAAACAATCAAAATAAAATATATAATGTTCTATTATATCTTTACTGCCATCTGGTGGTCACTGTGTGTATCGCATGATCAATTTAAACACGAGTGTAATTACATACAGTGACCACCAGGGGGCGGAATAATAAAACATGGCGTACAAAACAGCACAGTAACTTTCAAAATAAAACTATAATGCAAATAAATTAATAAAAACGAATTATTATGTTCTTATTAAAAAATTAATAAGAACATGTGCACACTGCTCCAACTTTAAAAAATCAATAGAAATAAATAAAGCTATGTTTATATATTGAACAGAACATGTGAATCTTTGCTGCATCTACTTTGCATAAATGGGGAAACAGCTGTGTGTGTGTGTGTGTGTGTGTGTGTGTGTGTGTGTGTGTGTGTGTGTGTGTGTGTGTGTGTGTGTGTGTGTGTGTGTGTGTGTGTGTGTGTGTGTGTGTGTGTGTGTGTGTGTGTGTGTGTGTGTGTGTGTGTGTGTGTGTGTGTGTGTGTGTGTGTGTGTGTGTCCTGGCCGTAGCAGGAAGTCAGAAGTTGTTCTCATTAGAGACTCTCACAGCGACAGGTGAGTACTGCAGGTATTTCTGCTCTGTGTTCTTGTATGATATTAATATAATATTAAACCTTTATTATACTGTATAAAACTGTATAAATGTTATTTACATACTCACAAACATAGGAGTTGTTCTGGATGGTCAATGTGTGTATATGTGTGTGTTGAGTCTGTCTATCTGCTGTGGTTACACACATGTGGAAGTGTTCAGATATTTTACTGAAGTATTTATACAGCAATGGAAATATACAGCAGCACTATGACAAGAATAATACAATAAAATATGTATTGTTATGGAAAGGGGATGAGAGGTAGCTTGTGTACAAATGTGCACATTATTTGGAGGGTTGTGCAGAACTGGCAATACTTCAATGAAATAAATAAGTGCATAGTGTGCTTAAAGGGTTAAGTACCTACAACTCAAGTCAAGTACAGTACTAAAAGTACCTCTTCAAACTGTTGAATAGATAACCTATACAATAATACAAAAATCAATAAACACTAATTACCATTTAAAAGAGAGTGTTGCTAATACAACTGTTAAATACATAATTGAAATATAAACCTATAATACAAAGACTAAAAGAGTCACTTAAAGGAAGTGTTGCAAATAAAAAACTAAGCTAAAGAGATGTGTCTTCAGCTGTTGTGTAAAAATGCACCTCTTCACTCTGGGTCTTTACGTGACCTGGCAGAGGGTTTAATAGCGTCTGCGTGCTGCTGAGGTTTCTATACTTCCCGTATCAGCTCTCACCAGTTCCTCCATGCAGACATGGTATTTGAATAACTTCTCAGCACACATTGTATTTGTGTTCCCCTCTGTGATCCAGAAACATGAGCGACCAGGTGAGTCCGTCCTTCAACCAGAGCTCAGGGAACGAGTCGACTGCCTGCGACCAGGTGGACACGTCGGCACGCCTCTTCTTCCTGCTGGGACACAGCCTGGTGTTCCTGGTGAGTCCCTTTCCATGTCTTATTTCTATTGTTATTATAAGACAGTAATATTAAATCAATCAGTCAATCAATCAATGTTTATTTATATAGCCCAATATCACAAATGTTACATTTGTCTCAGTGGACTTCACAGGTTGTACAGAGTATCAGTATGACAATACGACACCCTCTATCCTTAGACCCTCACATCGTACAAGGAAACACTTCCAGAGAAAAACCCCACAGTTTAAAGGAACATGGGAGAAACCTCAGGGAGAGCAGCAGAGGAGGGATCCCTCTCCCAGGACGGACAGACGTGCAATAGATGCCGTGTGTAAATCGAAAAGATAATACATTTACAACATAGGTAGACCGAATGTTTGGAAATGCATGTGTCTATAATAAAAAGATGAATCCACGAGGATGTCAACAATCCTGTGGGAGCCATCAGGGAAGTAGTATGATGAGAGTCAGGCAGGACCACAGTGACAGGTTCAGCCACGACTCGAAGTCCAGGACTCAGATCAGGACTCAGGACTCAGGATCAGCCACGACTCAGGATCCCAGCGTAGATAGACACCAAAAAGAAATTTGGGGGAAGCTGGGTTATTTGGAACTTGAGAGTAGGTACAGACAGACAGAAGGAAGAAGTAATAAATTAAACATTTATTATACTGTATAAAACTGTATAAATGTTATTTACATGTATAATCACAGATATAGGAGTTGTTATGGATTTGTGGGGGAAACTTCTGAAGCTATTGGAGTCAGGACTCAGAGAGACACGAAGAGAGCTGGAGCTTTGATGGCAAACACTGACGGTTTATTTGGAGCTTCGGCCGGAGAATTCACAAGACATGTCACGGGCCACGGGTTGACCACAGGTTGAAACGCCACAATCAATTCTGAAGTAACCTCCTGTAGCTCCAGGTTTGAACTAGTTCAGAGTGTAATAATCAACATTCTTCAATAGATAGACTAAGCAGCTGAGGACAATGAATCACATTTGTTGTCGCTTATGGCTCGGGGTCATCTACACCCCGAGAAGGATGTGTTCCAGGTGTCCCACAACAATAACTATCTCTGACCGAGAGTTGCCCGGTCCCAAACTGGTAACAACAACACAATGCTAGGGAAGCCCCTCCTTAAGGGAGATAGCGGCTGATCAATGCTGGGCATCTGCGTCAGAGGGCGAAAGGTAAACGTGTGTACAGAATGATTCCCTGACAGATGGAACATGTGTATATATTTGTGTTTGTTGAGTCTATCTGCTGTGGTTACACACATGTGGAAGTGTTCAGATATTTTACTGAAGTATTAATACAGCAATGGAAATATACAGCAGCACGAGTTGTACCACTAAATAAAGTAAATAAACGTTGGTATTGCGATTGTCATGTAGATGGAGTATCAGTAGTAAAAGTACACAAGTATTATTATCTTCAATGTCGGGAGGAGTACTCAGATCCTTCATTAAAGTTCAAATACAATGGTCTTAAAATACTACACATAAAAGTCCTGATTTCCAAATTGTACTGAAGTAAAAGTAGAAAAGTATTAGCGTGAAAATGTACTTTAAAGTACAACAAGTAAAAGTACTTGTTATGCAGATTTTTATAAATAACATGTATGTTGTTTTTATGATTACTATTATTTATTTATTTTAATTTTAATTATTATTATTATTATTTTTATAAATAAATATATATTGTTATATAAGTTGTATTAATAATTTTATTATTATTTTTATTCATAACATGCATATTGTTTTTATTATTATACTTATTATTAGATATATAAATATATATATATTTTTTTGTATTCATCCCAAGAAGGGAAATTGTTTTGTTATGTTATTATTATTACTATTTATTTACTTTTTGTTTATTTATTTTCATTTTATATGTCGTTAGGTTTTGTTAACATGCTTTGAAAGGTGCATATTATTTTTGTGTTTTTTTTAATATTGAGATTTTTATAAATGTCATTGAGTTTAGTGAAATCTCATGTTCTGTGAAATGCAGTTTTCTCTTCTTCAAAATGTGGATAATTTTTCTGAAATGTCATGATATGTTGTTGGGTTTTGAGAAATGTCGTTGGGTTCCCGCCGGCGGGGGCAGACGCAACATCTTGCAAGAAACAGCGTCTCAGGGCTTCTTAACATTTAACAACATATTAATGATGCATACCCACTTAACGGGAAGAAACTCAGCTAACTGACGATATGAACCATTTTTACCTAAACAGAACACAATTCCAACACCAAGCGTCTAAATCGTCTAAAATTAAACAGAGCTAACGCTACATTAGCACATAACTGGCAAAAGCGATCTTTTCTACTTCATGCTATCTGCACAAACGACATATCATATGAAAGCTGAGATTCCACAGATTCCATTGGTATAAGCCTCATCACTGAGGCCTGAAAAATAGGCCCAGGGTTTAACAGGGAGATGTCGTTGGGTTTTAAGGTTTTAAGACATTTTGTTGGGTTTTTTAGAAATGTCGTTGGGTTTTGCGAAATGTTTTTGAGTTTGTGAAAGGTGCAGTTTAGTTTTGTGGTTTTTGAATGCTGACATTTTGGGAAATCTCATGTTCTCTGAAATGCTGTTTTCTCTTTCGCAAAATGAAATTTTCTCTTTTGTGAAATGTCATGATATTTTGCACACATCAAGCGTTTCCCCCCCTCTCCTGCAGGTGGGGTTGCTCCTGAACGGCTTCACACTGAAGGTGTATTTCTGCCGCGCGCAGCAGCAGCAGTCCAGCAGCGTCACCGTCTACCTGAAGAACCTGGTGGCTGCAGACTTCCTGATCAGCCTCTGCCTGCCGCTCCGGATCCTGAACTACTCCAGGACCTCGGTCCACATCCACCTCGTCTACTGCAACTTCGGGGCGTCCGCCTTCTACCTCAACATGTACGCCAGCATCTTGTTCATGGGCTACATCGCAGCCAACAGGTAGGACTGAGCTCAGGGGGGTCACAATCATTTTAGTTCAGGTCCTCATACAGACGAATCTGATCTCAAGTGGGCCGGACCAGTGAAATCCCAGCATAATAACCTAAGATTCATACTAATAAATGTCAGCAACTTGTTGTTATTTCCCAGAATAAAGACTGTACCAGCACCTCTAAATCTCACTAATACCAGTTTTAAATGTCAGTGTGTTTCAGAATAAAAGTCTCACGGTGCGTTTGACGTACAGCTGAAGCACCTTAGTCATAACCAGGTGTTAAAGTAATGTAATAGTTTCATCAAAATTAAGAAGGGAACAGCATGTGGTTGGATGAGCTCTGCATGATATTGAGGTCAGGATACCACAGCGGTTCTTCTACCAGAACGACTGCTCTACTTTAGTTTAGCTGCTTCCTGATTTTGTCACTAAAACACTTTTGTCGTCAAAACAGTTCACGTAACAGAGGTTGAAGAAGTACTCTAATTCTTCACAGTCTCCATTACAGACAGTTACTCAAGTATAAGTACTGAAGAATTATCTCAAATATCCCAGACTCTCACTTCTGTCTGGTGTGAATGTGTGAAAGCAGATACGATAAAACTGATCTGAGACACTGACAGATTAGACGATAAAAAGGTGGTCTCTACAGCTGCACTGAGCATGCTTTGTTCATTATAAGGATGTGGTAGATGTATTTTTAAAGCTTCAGGATGTGGTTTTCTAATGAAGACTATACATGCTACAGGAAGAAGATGCTTGGTTTAGCAGCATGCAGTTTAAAGTCTGACCAGAGTTTCTCAGAGAAAGAGTTGTGCTGGTGCACGGTCACATGACTTCACGTCAGCACCGCTAAGCTAAAGGTGGCTAATGTTGGGCTATAAAGGAACTACAGCACGGTCACATGACTTCACGTCAGCACCGCTAAGCTAAAGGTGGCTAATGTTGGGCTATAAAGGAACTACAGCACGGTCACATGACTTCACGTCAACACCGCTAAGCTAAAGGCGGCTAATGTTGGGCTATAAAGGAACTACAGCACGGTCACATGACTTCACGTCAGCACCGCTAAGCTAAAGGTGGCTAATGTTGGGCTATAAAGGAACTACAGCACGGTCACATGACTTCACGTCAACACCGCTAAGCTAAAGGCGGCTAATGTTGGGCTATAAAGGAACTACAGCACGGTCACATGACTTCACGTCAACACCGCTAAGCTAAAGGCGGCTAATGTTGGGCTATAAAGTAACTACAGCACGGTCACATGAATTCACGTCACCACCGCTAAGCTAAAGTTAGCTAATGTTGGGCTATAAAGGAACTACAGCACGGTCACATGACTTCACGTCAGCACCGCTAAGCTAAAGGCGGCTAATGTTGGGCTATAAAGTAACTACAGCACGGTCACATGAATTCACGTCACCACCGCTAAGCTAAAGGCGGCTAATGTTGGGCGTGATGACGTTTAGTAGTCTCATTTAGACACTTGTTAGCAACCACAGTTTTTAAATTCACCAGTGGGGTATTTACTGATGTATTTTATCTTGTAAAACTAAACGTAAAATCAGCTTGTTTTAACCACAGACATTATTTCAGGCTTCTAAGCAAAACCACGTTCAGAAAACCATTGTCTTCCAGACTAGGGAACTGAAAGTGCTCAAATGCTGACTCCTGTCACAGCTTTAAGACTTGTTGCTGCTCCACTCCACATTGTCGGTTTTATGCAACCCAGTCTCACGGCATTTCGTGTTATAGTCACAACATTTAATCTATTGATTCGTGTTCACCAACACGACTTTCCCCTTTTTTTCGTGTCACACAGAACGATTTTAAAAGCAATGTATTTCTATTGGTAGTATGTTTCGTGCCTGCACCACGTCTTCTTGTCCGGTCGGGTCTTGGAAGACCGGAAGCTGTGTGGTTCATAAAAACATGTTCTTACTCATTATCAAGCCACGATTATTGATTTTATTTTAAATCGTATAATGTCGTACTTTTTTTGCCGTCCGCGAGGAAAAGAAGTGGCTCAGAGCCTCAGAATACTGAAATCTGTATTTTTTAAATCTTTTTTTCCTTCTATTTTGTTATTCTTTTCTAAATAACACACTGTTATTTACTCAACAATAACACACAATTATCCTTGTTTTTATTTATTTGTTTAATTCTATAATCTCTGGCTTTTTTGCCGTCCGTCAGGAAGTGAATTTCAAAATAAAATAACCGGAAACAGATACAAACCCACTGAACTGATTACCCAAGATCCTCAGCTATGTTTGAAGCTCGGTGATTGGATTGTTTAGCCGCAATGCACGTTGGGATATGGTGTTAAAGGAGAGGTGTCATGCTTTTCCGGTTATTACCTGTCCCCTTGTGTGTTATGAAGGTTTTTATGCATGTAAACGGTGTGCAGAGTCAAAACCCTCAAAGTACACCCTGTAGGGAGTAAAACTCTAACACAGAAAATACCTCCCCAAAACGCCTCGTTGGAGATACTTCATTTTCCATTTCGTTCCGGGTACGGCATGATGTCAAGCCGTACCCGGAACGAAATGGACCAATCCGTGGAGCCGTTATGTTACGTCCGCGGAGCCGTTACGTTAAGCCCCCGCTGATTGGTCCAAATTGACCAATCCACGGACTTCCTCACACACACATCTGTGTGCAGGGAGCAGGCAGCTCTGCTGATTTCTCCTCCCTGGCTGCAGGCTGATAACAGACAGTTGGGATCGCGGCGAAATTCTCTCTGCAGACCCATTCTCTCTGCAGACCCATTCTCTCTGCAGACCCATTCTCTCTGCAGACCCATTCTCTCTGCAGACCCATTCTCTCTGCAGACCCATTCTCTCTGCAGACCCATTCTCTCCGCAGACCCATTCTCTCCGCAGACCCATTCTCTCCGCAGACCCATTCTCTCTGCAGACCCATTCTCTCTGCAGACCCATTCTCTCTGCAGACCCATTCTCTCTGCAGACCCATTCTCACAGCGTTTATCAACCTTTTTCTTACTCAATATCAAGCCACACTTATTGTTTTTACTTCGGCTGTGACTTTGTGTGTGCTCAGGATGAGTTTGGCTGTGTTTTGCTATGTATCCTAAACAAGGAAGCAACACCTCCACGGAGCTCAGCGCGATTCACAACGTCCCGACCAATCAGAGCACACTGTGCTCACAGGGAGGGTGGGGGCTGGAGCTATTGGAGCTACAACGAGCCGTTAAAGGCAGAGAGTGAAATTCAGTGAATACACGTAGTTTACAGAGATGCTGTTTGAGAAACCAATGTGAGTTTGGAGAGATGCTGTATGAGAAACCAATGTGAGTTTGGAAAAATGCACAATATAAATCTATTTTAGTATACCTCAACAATGGAATTATGATCAGTGGAAATGGCCATGACACCTCTCCTTTAATGCGATATGAAATCCGAAAAAAATAAAAATTAAAAAATGTTTATTTCGAGTGCGATTGCTTTTCTCTTTGAAAGTCATCACATAACGGCATTGTAATACACGGTTCGGCTGCATTACATATTACACATCTGCCTTAGTTCTTTATTTATAGAGCCCTGATAAGAAGACTTCTGGACAAACAGGAAGCACTGCCACCAAAACTGAAAACGTGACGTGGATCATAAATATATCAGCAATTACACAACATTTTCCATTTCTCTTCACACAATACGTCTCCTTGCAGTATCAATACTAATTCGGCTGACTTTTATATTTGATCCAATTGGTAAATAGGTTATATTTACACCATAACGGTGCACAGCTGATATAAAAGGAAGTTTTTAACGATATTACTGATTTTTTTTTAATATAAGAATGTAAATACTGAGTTGAGAGAATAGTCAGGGGATTTGGGTGATGGGAGATACATCTATGGAATCACAATTTCAATAGCTACCATTAAATGACGGATATACCTTTCTGTCTGTGATGTTTTACAAATCAGATATTAATGTGTAGAAGTAAAACATGTGAAATAATATAGCAATATCCTGTACAATTATGTAAAAACATGAATAAAACTACTAATCTTCAGATGTTATACATACATAAGTGTCCTACACTAATAATACAAAGTTATTATGGCATTGTATGCTGTGTGTACCTTGTGTGCACCGCCTAGTGGTTAAAGCACGTTATTGAATAATTGTTTTAATATGTTATATTTGATGAAAAAATATTAAGAGTACATACTGTCATAGGGGGAAAGTAGAAGGTCAATGATAGAAATATAGAATATAAAAAATCAAGAAGATACTGTAAGTGATCTCTACAATAAAACAGTTTAGTGCCTGATGTATAAAGATATTAATATGAGGATGTGCAAAACAGAAAAACGAATTAACCTTTATTTAAACATTAAATAATACTTTAGATTAAGGTCTTCTTTTGAATAAGAAAAAAGCTTTGGGGGTATCTACAGATAAATATTAAGCCTGACAAAGTACTTAACGTCTAATATATTGCTTTCCTGCAATGTTAACTGTGTTGAAGCACTTACAGTATTTTAACTGATATTATACACATTAATTATACTCTTATGTATGTAGATAGTATAAGAAATGTGCAGAATATGACAGTTTAATGGTGGAGGTATACACACATATTGATAGATGTCTTGTAATGCACTGTTGAGGAACCTGTGACCCAAGTTTTTCATTCATTGCATAACTAAACTGTAGTTGTGTATATGATATGTCAATAAACCTTAGAAAATCTTGAAATCTTGAAAGGGATGTGCAAAATAGCCATTATATACCGTTTTTAATGAACTATTAGTAGAGAACAACTAGTAATGAATATACTTTATAGAGATCTGCAGATAAATGTTTAGTCTTCTCAAGCACCAACTAATATCTCTCCTGATTGTTGGCACTTGACAATCACCTTCACTGAATTTTACTCAGGTGTAACTAAAGTCTGCTTTAAGGGTTGTTTATATTTCACATCATTAATCAGAATCTGCAAAGTAACTAAAATAAATGTAGTGGAGTAAAAATACCAGGTTAACCTCTGAATTGTAGTGGAGTAGAATTACAAAGTGACAATGAGCTGGCATGTGGGTATATATTAATGCTGCCCATTATGGACACAAGCGATTTTCACCCATTTATTAATTATATGTTTTACATTTGATAACACCAATGTGTTTAATACTGGCAACTTCTAATTGTGGAAAAAACGGAAACGTTCCCAGTAGAGACGTCCCATAGAACATTTTGCAAAACACAATAGCCAACATGTGTAGTTCTGGGGGGGGGGGGGGCTGGTCCTGTTCGAGTCCAGTTGTGGATAGTCTGCCGTGGTTTCGTTCCATTTCAAAGTGCTGTTTGACGCTCGGCGTAACCTTGGCGCACTGCCACTCCAACATCCAATCCCAGAGCTTGAAGATTAATCACGGGGTTTGTCAAGCAAAGGGACTGTAGTCCCAAACGATAGCTGAGGATTATGGGTAGTGTAGTGTCTTCGGCCATCATAAACTCCGATTTATTTTCCGGATTTCATATCGCATTAACACCATATCCCAACTTGCATTGCGGCTAAAACATCCAATCACGAGCTTCAACCATAGCTGAGGATCTTGGGTAATCAGTTCAGTGGGTATGTATCGCAATGATGCTCGAAATGTCCCATATAGGCCTACGTCTGTTTCCTGTTACTTTATTTTGAAATTCACTTCCTGACGGACGGCAAAAACGCCCGAGATTATAGAATTAAACAAATAAATAAAAACAAGGATAATTGTGTGTTATTGTTGAGTAAATAACAGTGTGTTATTTAGAAAAGAATAACGAATTAGAAGGAAAAAAAGATTTTAAAAATACAGATTTCAGTATTCTGAGGCTCTGAGCCATTTCTTTTCTTCACGGACGGCAAAAAAAGTCCGACATTATACGATTTAAAATAAAGACAATAATCGTGACTTGATATTGAGTAAGAACATGTTTTTATGAACCCCACAGCTTCTGGTCTTCCAAGACCCGACCGGACAAAATGACGTGTTGCAGGCACGAAACATACTACCAATAGAAATACGTTGCTTTTAAAATCGTTCTGTGTGACACGAAAAAAAAAAAGGGGAAAGTCGTGTTGGTGAACACGAATCAATAGATTAAATGTGGTGACTATAACATGAAATGCCGTGAGACTGGGTTGTTTTATGTGAGAATGTTTTGGTTAAGATTCATCTTGTGTCTCCAGGTATCTGAAGATCGTCCATTCGTTAGGCAGTATTTACTGACGTGTGTTATGCCGAGAACTAAACGTTTGATCATCTTGTGTTAACCACAGACCTTATTTAAGGCTTCTAACCAAAGTGCTCAAATACTGACTCCTGTCATGGCTTTAAAGTGTATTTATATGTGTTGTGTACAAGAAAGAAGCAAAAATCCTTTAAGTTGACAAAACGGCTTTGTTTCAATGAAATACCGTCAAAATCACAAAGTGCAATTAAAGGTGGGGTCGGTAAGTTTGAGAAACCGGCTCGAGATACACTTTTTGTTATATTCCATGGAATGCTCTTAACATCCCGATAGCAATGAATATCTGAAGTGCTTTGACAAAAAATCCATAAAAAATGTCATCTGTGGAAGCTGTAGTACTGTAAAAAGCACGACCAATCATCTGAGCCGGCCCGGCTAAAATAACTGGATGGCCTACCTGCCTGTCAGCCTTCCATCTGTGCACAAACTTATCTCGTGCCCTCATTGGTCATGTGCGCGTATTTTCAAATTCTACGCACTCAAGCTGGTTTCTCCAAAATTACCTACCCCACCTTTAAGAGTCACATTCTTAACGAAAATGTACCCACACAAAATACTTCATTTTCTAATTTTAAGCTTTTATCCATAAAAGTGTATCTTTCAGTAACTTTTTGAGAGAATTAAGCACAAATCTGTCAAATGTTCAAAACTGCATTGTCTCCCTGCCTTAAAAACACAAACTGCCAACAAAGAAACGCAATTCCTTGTGCTTCATATTCTACCAGTTGAAAAGTGTTGCATGTATTAAAGTGTATTTATAAGTGTTGTGGACAAGAAAGAAGCAAAAATCCTTTAAGACGTGTTGCTGCACTCTACATTGTTGCTTTTATGTGAGGATGTTTTGGTAAAGATTCATCTTGTGTCTCCAGGTATCTGAAGATCGTCCACCCGTTAGGAACCCACATCTTTCAGACGGTGCGAGCCGCCCACATCATCTCCACGCTCACCTGGCTCTTCCTCCTGGCCCCGGTGATCACCTACGCCACCCTCTCTCTCCTCAGCCAGAAACCCTCATCCCCCGTCCCTCTGAGCCTGGGCTGCGACGCCCTGCACAGCCAACTGCTCAGCACCGTCTACAAGGTCATCCACTCCTGCTCCGTGTTGGTCTTCCTGCTCGTCCTCGTCTCGCTGATCTTCTTCTACCACAGCACCTCCCGCCGTTTGTCTCTGGCGCAGAAGAGACAGCCGGCGTCCTCAAGGTAGAGGTGGGAAGTAGTGGAGTACAAACAATATCAGGATCCATGTATTTGTGATACTCTCCAGAATGGAAGGAGTCATCACATACAGAGCATCAACTAGTTCCTGAACAGTGTCCTTCACATGCTGATATCCAAGAGAGGGAGTTACACAGTCACAAGATGGAGGAATAGAAAGCAGTATTCAATGTTTACTTCAGATTAGCTCCACGTCAGAAATGATCATGCTTGTCATATGTCTATCTCCATAGAGGCTGAATCATCATGTTAATCACATAGCTATCATATGCCTCAAACAGTCCTGATGCTCTTCTAGGTAATCATACATCCTGTCATGTTCACAGCTACAGTTGGGATACCTTTGTTATCATGTTACTCTCATATTGTTGATGTTGTTCAGCATGGAAACATTCATTAGCTAACAATGACATTATTGTTCTATTAATATAAAGGGAGGTCAGGTACTCTTTAAAACAGCTGGTAGTTATGGGGACTTTTTACTTAAAGGGGACCTATCATGCAAAATGCACTTTTGTACGTCTTTTCTACATGAATATGTGTCCCCGGTGTTCCAGGGAACTCACCAAGTGTCAGAAAACACAACCCTCTCTATTTTCCTCCATACCCAAATCTCTAAAAAAGGGGCTGCAACGGATCTGATAAAAACTGATCCAGATTTGAACACTGTCCTGACGTCAGGACGGTGGCGCTACGGCTATTGGGCCAACTCCACCAATCAGGAGGAGACAGCCACGGCCATTGCCGTTCGAAAGCGCTGGAGACGCTGTAGTACATATGCCAGGCCAGTAGATGGTGCTGTTCTCACTGAATCAGCCCTTGCAAAAACAGAGCTAGAAATTGTCCAATTGAGCGAAATGAGGCATGGCTAAAATGCATGATCTGTTTGGTATTTTGAAAAAAAAAAAGTATAAATATGCCTTATATAGGTAGGTCCTACACTATATTATTCAAATATAGCATGATAGGTCCACTTTAAGTACATTTCAAAGCCCATACTTCTTTACTTTTACTTGAGTAAAGAACTTTAGTCAGTACTTCTACTTTTACAATTTTTAAACACGAGTATCTGTACTTCTACTTCAGTAAAGGATGTGTGTACTTTTGCCCTCTCTGCCTCCAGCTCCAAGAAGCTGGCTAAGTCTCGCAGAAACATGCTGGTTCTGGTGAGCGTGTTCTTCGTCTGCTTCGTCCCGTACCACCTCGTGCGTCTTCCCTACGCCTTCCTGAGGAAGCGCTGCTCCTGGAGCCAGACCTTCTTCTACCTGAAGGAGGTGACCGTCCTGCTGTCGGTGCTCAACGTCTGCTTGGATCCGCTCATCTACTTCATCTTCTGCAAGGCCTTCAGGGCGCAGCTGAACCTGAAGAGGGCGTTCAGACTCACACAGGCCACCGAGAGGAGGAGCAGCGACGGGAGGATGAGCATCAGATTCAACAGGACGACGTCGCTCACAACCACCACCAGGCAGAATAGCTTGCTGTAGCTTACACACACTAACACTCAGTGGTGGTTCTAGATCGATTTCACTGGTGGGGGTCATGTTTATTTAATGAGATGGGCACGCTCAATGCGGGACAAAAGAGACAAAGGCAGTGTTATTGTCACGAACTTGAAACTCAAGGTAGCACTCAAATGCACGACTCCAGGAGACAGAGTTCAAGTCAAGACAATGTTGAAAATGATTAGTTTTTGTATAAAGTCATAGCGTATAGCATCTTAAAATACCATCATTGGTGTTTTTACCAGGAACAGTTTCAAACATTTATTAAATTACGTTATGAAAAGCAAAAAGCGTTCTTGTTAACCTCAGCTAGCTACAGCACAACGCTACCTAAGACTGTATTATCATTATAGATGCTTCTTTTGAAAGGGTGCCACAGGGGGGTCAAAGCTCATTGTTACGGAAACACTGGCCACCGTTTCCCCCCCCCATAGAACCGCCTATGCTAAAACTAAAAAACAATCACATTACAACTGCAAAATATGTGCAGAGTCGGTATATCGTCACATCGTCACATCGTCATATCGTCATATCGCGGTCGAAGCGACTTGTCAACGTGGCATTTTTGTAGAAAAGATGTCGGACTTTAGGCTTTAATCCGTCTTGTGGTCGGATGTTTCATGTGTTCGTAAGTAAGTGTTTCGTGCACTCCTGTTGTCATATTTAGTGGCAGCTGATTTTGTTATAGAAAGGTCCATCCATTCATCTTGTAGGAGTTCAAGTTATAGAAAGTTATTTGTTCAAGAAAGTCAGGTAATGGTATATCAGTAAACTAAGCATGAACATACCGAAGCATTTCACAGCTAAGCTTTTCTCAGGACAGGAAAACAGACACATTAAAAAAAGTACTTGTCTACTCCAATTAGATGTTGCATGGAGTGTTATGAAGAAGACATATTTCTGCAGACCAAAGGACTTTTCAGTTCTCTCAATCGCACATAGAATCTTTTATTTTTACCGGCCTCTATGTATGGTTTATAAGATATGCAAAAGGGAAGAAGAACTGTGAGTTAAATATATCAGAGCAGAGCCTGTATCACTATTTAAAACCACTATACATACCCTGCCTGTACATTGACAGCATGTTTTTATCATATTCAGAGGGTATACTGTCATTATTGAACCTGGCCCTCCACTTGTTATCGTATCTTTGCACCTTCTTTGTTCTGCGGTCAGAAAAACTGCACATTTATCAGTCTGATCTGCATTTGTTTGCAACGTGCAGTGTGCCAATGTGCTCTGTTTCACAAAAATGAGATTGTATCTGCTGAGGAAAAGGGCTTGCACAATGATTCCTTTGTAAAGAGACAGAGCGGCTGTTCAATGTGTTCGTTCACAGAAAAACTTCTGAGGACGATACAGGTCGAAAATAAACATATTATTAAAACCAGATCCATGGTTTGAGACCTGCTAGTCAATAATCTCAGAGTTGCATTAACAAGATATCTTTAAGACGTGGTTTACGGGACGTGTTGATATTACGACAGGTTAGTCACTCAGGTTTTTACCGTGAAAACCGTCTTCTTGTTTATCTTCCTCAGAGATCTGAACAGTGCCGAGGCGTCTGAGCGGCAGTCTGCTCACAAGCCTGAAGTTTCCTATAAATATGTAAAGAAGAAGTTATATCTGTATTGTTTGACCTTTTATATTTCAATAAAAGATATCATGTTACAATGTTTTTGTTTAGAGCAAGATGATGAGTTATTAACCGGGATAGAAAGGAAGTTTATTTATGTTATAGTGTTCTATAAAAAGATGGCTTTTCACTTTACCATCTATTGTGGTTATTTGTTGTATTTGTTTGTATTTGCACTTATTAAAAAACATGTTGGTATTTGTAGTTGTATTGACCTTTTACTTGTACCTGTGTTTGTTAATCTCTTAATGTCATACTGTATCTCACACACTGGTGCTCTGTGTTTCCCCTCACACCCCACACACGGAAATTCAAGTTTAATACATCTCTGTACATTTTAAAGTGTCCCCTCTGTCTGTCTCCTCGTTCAAAATGTCAATAATCATTCTGAAACTGACTTTATTAATCAAGTTAATGCTGCTGTGTGCACAATTTGGAAAACACCTTATATTAAGGTATACATGTGAGCCTTTATCTAGTTGTGTATTAGCACGTACATAAAGCATATTGGCTATTTATCCATCATTATAAAGCACTAATTTAGGGCATTCTTCCCCCAATAACCTCATAAATACTGCCTTTTGATAATAAATAAGAAGTTATTCTGCATTAATTAGGAGCTTTGCCATGTTTGACACCTATAAGGTGGTAGTACTAGAAGAAAAGGGTGTCATTCTCCCTTTATTCATAGTTTATTAACAAAATACTGTATAAATAGAGTCCTCTTTCCTCATTTCAGCAAATTACAAGAGAAGATGGCAAACATGCTTTCAGTAACCAAACAACGTCACGTGTGTGTGTGTGTGTGTGTGTGTGTGTGTGTGTGTGTGTGTGTGTGTGTGTGTGTGTGTGTGTGTGTGTGTGTGTGTGTGTGTGTTTGTGTGTGTGTGTTGCAGGGGGGCGGGGCTTGTGGTCAGCTGTGTGTGTGTGTGTGTGTGTGTGTGTGTGTGTGTGTGTGTGTGATGCAGGGGGGCGGGGCTTGTGGTCAGCTGTGTGTGTGTGTGTGTGTGTGTGTGTGTGTGTGTGTGTGTGTGTGTGTGTGTGTGATGCAGGGGAGCGGGGCTTGTGGTCAGCTGTGTGTGTGTGTGTGTGTGTGTGTGTGTGTGTGTGTGTGTGTGTGTGTGTGTGTGTGTGTGTGTGTGTGGGATGCAGGGGGGCGGGGCTTGTGGTCAGCTGTGTGTGTGTGTGTGTGTGTGTGTGTGTGTGTGTGTGTGTGTGTGTGTGTGTGTGTGTGTGACGCAGGGGGGCGGGGCCTGTGTGTTTGTAGAGTAAGAAACAGGAAGTCAACCACACATCATCTACAGCTTCCTCATGATCTGCACCAAAACCTTGAATCAAACGCAGCCTGAAGACCTGAGGGGGGGGGGGGGAGGGACCCAGACCTCAGGGGGTCAACACGTGGTCTGAGGACCTGTGAGGGGACGCCTGAAGGTAAGGGCTCATTCAGGCTTTATTTCAGTGTAATCTTGTTAAATATCAGACAGGATGCTGGTTCCTCCGTCACACTCACGACTAAAATAAGAAGAAGTGTTGCTCACTGAATTCATCCTAAACGTCTTCAAACTTTACATTTCAAAATCTGCTTTCTCAACATTGTTGTTTTAACTTCAGGTCACTGTGGCACACATAATCATATGTCAAGATGATTGGAGGTTTCTGGCTCAAATGCACTTTGGGAATGACCTTTCCCTTTAAATGTGTACATCCTCAAACTGAAACCTGTGATTCTTTTAAAATATTAAAAGCAAACAAATATTTCGTCCCGCAGATTAAACCTGGAGACTTTAATGCTGATTGAAGCTGCTTTACATTTTCAACAAAGCCAAAACTCAATGGATTGATGGAGAAAATAGTCATTAGATGAATCCTTAATGTTCCACTTTAGCCAATAAAATCCAGAGTTTACAAAAAGCACGTCTAATACATGATATACACTAATAATAACAATACTTTTCTGATGATAAAACGTGATAAATGCTGGACTTTTACTCGTACAAATATGGAAGTTTTAGTATGTTTACTGCTGTAAAGTCTGTACTGTTGACATTTAGAAACTGTGCACTAAATCGATTTGCCTGTCCTGTGCCTGTACTGCTGTAACCTGATGCTATCCTGTTGCTATCTAATTGGTTGGTTTTAATTAGCATATCCTATATTTGCAGGCTCTCAAATCATGTTTAGGGGTTTAGACTCTGAAACATCTCCAGGAACTACAAAGTAAAAATAGCTCTTGAAGGCTTGATGATACAATGAAGTTGATACCTTTTACTTATATGCAAATATATATTTCTCAGTAAATCTACCGGCCTCTAAGAAAGCAGATGTGACACTATTTTGGTGATTTATATTCTGGTTGAATGAGTCAACGTTTCCTGATTCACAGCTTCCTGTTGCAGTAGAAGTTTTTTATGTGACCACAGATTTGCATTTCTGTCTGTCACCTCCCGCCTGCTGTCTGCATGTCAGCTCCCACACCAAACTAATCCAACGCACCTCTGTTCCTGATGTGTTCACAGCCAATGTAGAAGTGACTTAAACCTGCATTCTGTCCAACATCCAGCAGGGGGCGACTGGTTTTTAAGAGAAATCTAAATGTGTCAATGAGAAAATTAGCAGATTTCTAACTTGATTTATTCCCTCAGTAAACATTTTAAAATTAGTTTAATGAACATCATGCTGTATTGCAGAAGACTTTAAACTACAGATCAAAACCATAAACTCTTCAGGAAATAGTTTACTAAAGTAATAAATAAAGTGAGAAGCATGGTCATTTCTTCATAGACGTCTACACCAGTGGTTCTCAAATGGGGGTACGCGGACCCCTAGGGGTACGTTGGAGTACTGCAGGGGGTACGTGAGATTTATTTTATGTTAATGAAAAAAAAAAACATAATTAATGCATTTAAACAAACTACTAATAGTAGATTAACTACTTTATTCAAAAGTTTACAGTAATTCTGGATAATAAAATGGGAAAAGTAAACGGGGTGCTCTCTTTTCCTCTCCCTCTCCTGACAGCCCGTCAGTATCAGTCTCATGCAGCTCACTGAACCTGTAATAAGTGACCCGACAGTAAAGAATACATATATGTATAACTAGTTTAGCTAGTTCCAGAGTAGATAAACTAGCTAAGTGTGTTAGGTCTAACTCTTAGTGTATTTTGCTCGGCTCAACGGTCCGTCACAGCGGCGGAGCTGTGATCATGCAGAGCTGCGTGTTCTCCGTCAGCAGCAGCTGATCTGCTCTCTGATCTCTCTCTCGCGTCCGGTTAGACTTCACTCGCGTTTATGTCCAAATCTATCAGATCTAGCTAGTTCTAGTTAATTATATGACTGCCTGCTTTTCAAAGGACCTAAACAATAAGCGTTGCTTGACAACGGCGTGTGGCCGCAAAGTATCGCGCAGCATTATGCATATGTTTATATGAGGGGTCAAAATCCCATGCTCATAAAATGCTCATATATTTTTTTCTCTTCATTCCCCACGCCTCAAAATAAATAAATATACAAATATACCAATTTTAGGAAAAGTAACGAAGTTTGAGCAGTGTGGGTTTTATATTAACAGAGTTACACATATTTCAAAACGCAAAGTGTAATAACTGCAGTTTGCCTGCCTGTCAGAATGACAAAGATCCTCAGTGAAGCACAAGCCCATGTTTCTCACTACATTGTAAGTCTCTAATATCCAGCAGGGGGCCTCTGATTGTGTAGACTCTACACAATCAGAGGCCCCCTGCTGGATATTAGAGAGAATGCAGGTTCAATGCACTACTGTCAGATGTTGATTCAAAACTCTGCATCAGAAAAAAACACAAATACAGCAATTATGTGTTTTAACTTTGACAGAAAAATCTAGTGTTAATGTAGAAACCAATTTAGATTAAGAAACCCAATTAGCTCAACGTTTTTAAGCTCTTTAAAGTGATTTAAAGTATGTTTCCTTCACACAGGCCTCTCCTTGTTTTCCACCTGAAAACCCAACGTCTTCCTCAGCTTTAGCTCAAATATAAACCCTGAGCTCTGGGTGCTTCTGGTCTGCAGACGATGGCGCCTCCTTCCTCCAACTCCAGTGATGGAGGAGAACAATGCATCGTGAACGACCAGATGGGACCCTTCACCGTCCTCTACACCCTCGTCTTCATCATCAGCGTTCCTGGAAACCTGCTGTCTGTGTGGATCTTCATCCGCAGCCGCAGAGTCAAGGTACACTTAGAAATAGTCATGGAAAGGTAGTGGAAAAAGGTCCTGACATGAGATCAGATGAACTTACATGAAGACCCTTGTAGCTCCAGCCTCTTCTTTCAATGGATTCCAATGAGAAGCGAGTGTGGTGTCCGGACATTTAAGTTAAGTTAATATATAGAGTGGTGCAGGAACGAGTCCTAAAACCAGGAAATTAGTCAGCATTTCAAACCTTCCTGTTCCCTCGTCTCAGAGCCAATGGGATCTCTCCATAGGATTTGGTAAAATAGCTGAAAGAAGGTCTGTGGTTGAGACACATTGAAGAGACGGATCACGTTTTGTTCTACGACATTAAATCCATCAGCAGTGACCCCACTGGTGATTTCTGAAGAGTTGACGTGTCTGAAAAACGATGGTTGTTACCAAGTGGCTGAATAGGACTACAGAAGTTGTGGAGGACGTTGTACGTCATTACGCCGAACACGTAAACACTCCTCTAAGTTTGTTTGCCCTGTTCTGCTTGAAAGCAAGTTCCTGCCTCCTGCTAACTGTTCAAACAAACGCTTCAACTCGTACCATTTAGAATCTGTATGTTTGAATATGGATCTTAAAGTGGACCTATCATGCTATATTTGAATAATATAGTGTAGGACCATACCTATATAAGGCATATTTATACTTTTTTTTTTCAAAATACCAAACAGATCATGCATTTTAGCCATGCCTCATTTTGCTCAATTTGCACTTTTTTAGCTCTGTTTTTGCAAGGGCTGATTCTGTGAGAACAGCACCATCTACAGGCCTGGCATATGTACTACAGCGTCTCCAGCGCTTTCGAACCGCAATGGCCGTGGCTGTCTCCTCCTGATTGGTGGAGTTGGCCCAATAGCCGTAGCGCCACCGTCCTGACGTCAGGACAGTGTTCAAATCTGGATCAGTTTTTATCAGATCCGTTGCAGCCCCTTTTTTAGAGATTTGGGTATGGAGGAAAATAGAGAGGGTTGTGTTTTCTGACACTTGGTGAGTTCCCTGGAACACCGGGGACACATATTCATGTAGAAAAGACGTACAGTGTGTTCCAGTTCATCTTGTCTCGTGATGCTAAGTCTGCGGTCCATTTAGCATTTTTTTATCCTCAAGTTCTCAGCTTTTTATCCTCAAAGTCAGCGTTTTGTGTTTGTGCATTTCTATCCTCCCTCCATATAGTTGTACCTGGTGGTGTTCATTTGAGTCCTGAGTCTTTTGTCAATCGTAACACCGAGTGCGCGCTGTGGGAAGCTACCACCTCCAGAAAAACCGAAGCGCCCAGTGTTTTCTTCTTTTTCTGAGTGCTGCCTTTTTTTCTGCTCCTGGTTGAAAATAATTAGAACTTTTCAGAAAAGCACTGGTTTATAATTGTTAGGAAAAAATCTCACTTGACACCGGTTTGAGCTTCAATATCAACATCTCTGCTTATAATCCCTGAGCTGCCCTTTGTGTGGTTGTGTATTTAAAGGTGTGTGTGTGTGTGTGTGTGTGTGTGTGTGTGTGTGTGTGTGTGTGTGTGTGTGTGTGTGTGTGTGTGTGTGTGTGTGTGTGTGTGTGTGTGTGTGTGTGTGTGTGTGTGTGTGTGTGTGTGTGTGTGTGTGTGTGTGTGTGTGTGTGTGTGTGTGTGTGTGTGTGTGTGTGTGTGTGTGTGTGCAGCAGCGCAGCCTCAGTGTGTATCTTCTGAACCTGCTGCTCTCCGACCTCCTGCTGCTCCTCGCCCTCCCCTTTAAGATCCTGAAGGACGGGGGGGCAGCTCCGTGGAGCCTGAAGGTGTTTCACTGCCAGGCCAGCGCCGTCACGCTCTACATCAGCCTGTACGCCTCCATCGCCTTCCTCGCCTTCATCATCACCGACTGCTACCTGCAGGTAACATAACATAACATAACATAAGATAAGATAAGACGTCTCTTGATGATGTTTCTCTGTCTCTCTGTTAGTGTAAACGAATAAAATGTAATCTCATGGTCCTTTCTTAGTTTATGTACAGTACTAGAGACTGAAGCAACACGTCTACATCCAGTTATAACAATACAGCCTCAATGTTTAAGTCTTTAAACGTTTTAAAGAGCTACTATGGTACTAAAACCTGGTTAAAAGAGTGCTTTTAGCAGAAGATCAGATTTTGAGCGTTCACCTCCTCTCACTGACTGCAGGTAAGACTGATGCAACACGTCTACATCCAGCTATAACAAAACAGTTTATATTTTAAAGTCTATTCACACGTAGTTCAAGAGCTCCTGTGTTACTTAAAGTGGACCTATCATGCTATATTTAAATGATATATTGTAGGGCCATACCTATATAAGGTATATTTATACGCTTCTGTTTTCAAAATACCAAACAGATCATGCATTTTAGTCATGCCTCATTTTGCTCAATTTGCACTTTTTTTTTGCTCTGCTCTGCAAGGGCAGATTCAGTGAGAACAGCACCACCTACAGGCCTGGCATATGTACTACAGCGTCTCCAGCGCTTTCGAACGGCAATGGCCGTGGCTGTCTCCTCCTGATTGGTGGAGTTGGCCCAATAGCCGTAGCGCCACCGTCCTGACGTCAGGACAGTGTTCAAATCTGGATCAGTTTTGATCAGATCCGTTGCAGCCCCTTTTTTAGAGATTTGGGTATGGAGGAAAATAGAGAGGGTTGTGTTTTCTGACACTTGGTGAGTTCCCTGGAACACCGGGGACACATATTCATGTAGAAAAGACGTACAAAAGTGCATTTTGCATGATAGGTCCCCTTTAAAGCAGGCTAAGAGAGAGGCAGATATGAATGTGGGTCCTTTACATCTCTAGTTACTCAATCACAGGAAAACCCTAGGACAAAGCTTAATGGTTATTTAATGAAGATTCATGGTTACCTCACTTTCCACAACAAAGGTTCAACACAAAACACAGTGTTGACTAAATACTCCAATTATACTCCAATACTCCAGAAAGAAATGCGTCCAAAAAATTCAATATACAGCGTAGCCGTGTAGCTCAGTGGATGTAGCTGGTGGCCTATTCGGCGTCGCTGTAGTAAGCATGTTCGATTTCAGGCAATATCCTCCCCTATCTCCCCCTTTCAAGTCCACATCTCCAATAAAGAATCCCCCCAAAAATACCGTAAAAAGCATTTATGATGTATAGTGAAATGATGCATTACAAGAAAGAAAAACATCTGTAAAGAATCGTCTTTGGGGTGAAAATACTCTGGCTCTGGTCGGGTTTGCTTCTCAATGTGTGGGGTCCTTTCTGCTGCCTTTAGTTCCACAAAAAAGAGCCGAATGCATTTAAATTAACTCACTAATAATAATAATACATTTTATTTATTAAGGCGCCTTTCAAGGCTCTCAAGGTCGGCGTACAAGGTACACAAAACACAAAACAAAAGTCCAAAAAACTATATAAATATTATGAATGTTTTGTATATGATGTTTTATTATGTATATTTATCATTGTTTTGGTTGATGCCGACTATCATTGTATTATTATGGTGGCGTCACATAGGCGTGGTTTTGGCCCTTTAATAGATGACAGGTGCTCACGATGAGTGGAAGGCAAACATTTGATTAACCGCACGATAGAGACGGCATGGGGAATTCTGGATGAGAAAATGTACCCAAGATGCGCCGTATGGCTTCAAATCTTTTGTTTAAGAGTTTAGAGTTTTGTTTAGTATTCTGTCAGTTTGTCTATAAATAAACTGCGATATCTGATCATTAATGTGGATGCGCTCTGACCGCTCATAACAATGCTATCTGATGGTCTCCCCCCCCCCCGCCTCAGGACTGCACCTCGCTGCGCTCCATGTGGCTGCAGGGGGTGGGCTTCTCCTGGCTGGTGTCTGTGGTGGTCTGGATGCTGCTGCTCCTCATCATGGTGCCAAACATGGCTCTGCCCATTCAGCACGTTCAGGTAACACTACTGCAAAAACTGCTATAGCTACAGCTGCTCCTGAAACTGCTGCAAAAAAAAACTAACGTTAGGCTATAGAGTGGCGAAGTCCCTCCCACTTACTTCCGGGGTATGGGACCTTATTCCGGAAAAGTTATGCATTGAAGTCAATGGGGAGAGAAAACTTATCTTTCGATCCCGTTTGAATTGTGCCATGAATTACACATATGATGTTTGTCAATCTTAAAAAATCATTTCCATGTCAAAAAAGTCACAGTTTGTCGTAAAACTGTTGAAATATAAGACTATGAAAAATACGTAACTAGAAAGACTACAAATCCCAGAGTCGCGTAAGTGATGTCACAATTGTTTTCCTCCACCATTCAGATACCTAAGATCAGCGCAATATAGATAGAATCTATCTATATGGCGCTGGCTAAGATAAGATAACTTTAACAAGATGCCTGTGTGCTTAGTACCAGGTTGTTATTATACCAGCAATGGGTCTTGCTCGTTCTTTCGCTTCCCGTCTGATGAAACGACCAGGAGTGGCTTGATCAAGTTAGCTACCTAGCTAGTAGCTAGCACGTTAGTTAGCATTACAGCCTTGTCATTTTTATTAGCCTTAACATGAAGTAACATTAAGTAACCCAAAATGTTAAACAGTAAGAGTAGTAGTCATATTTCGTGAACCCTTTGAATAGTACTGTCACCGGTGTGATCATTCTATAATACACAATTTAATTCCGGGGGAGAAATGCTAACGCTAACGTTAGCATCGGCGATCTTTTCTACTTCATGCTATCTGCACAAATGGTTGACATTAAACATTAAAACGACCAGGCAGTTCAGAGAGAATCAAAGGAAGGCAGGCAGGCAGCTTTGCATGACATTCTTCAGGACGTGTTTCATTGTGGTGATAGTGAGGGTAGTCAATCGTTTGTTGACAAGACAGTAGTGACGGCCATCTTGGTGACGTGTGTGGTTGACCAGAGATGTAGTTCATTGAGCCTTTCACACAAACAAATGTGTTACTTCACAGTTTTACGACACATTTTAATTTTTTTGACTTGCAAAATTATCTTTTAAATTGACAAACATCATATGTGTAATTCGTGGCACAATTCAAACGGGATCGAAAGATAATCTTTCTCTCTCCATTGACTTCAATGCATAACTTTTCCGAAATAAGGTCCCATGGGGCTCAACCGGAAGGGGAGGGACTTCGCCACTCTATAAAGGAACTACAGCACGGTCACATGACTTCACGTCACCACGCTAAGCTAAAGGCGGCTAATGTTGGGCTATAAAGGAACTACAGCACGGTCACATGACTTCAGGTCACCACCGCTAAGCTAAAGGCGGCTAATGTTGGGCTATAAAGGAACTACAGCACGGTCACATGACTTCACGTCACCACGCTAAGCTAAAGGCGGCTAATGTTGGGCTATAAAGGAACTACAGCACGGTCACATGACTTCAGGTCACCACCGCTAAGCTAAAGGAGGCTAATGTTGGGCTATAAAGGAACTACAGCACGGTCACATGACTTCACGTCACCACCGCTAAGCTAAAGGAGGCTAATGTTGGGCTATAAAAGAACTACAGCACGGTCACATGACTTCACGTCACCACCGCTAAGCTAAAGGCGGCTAATGTTGGGCGTGATGATGTTTAGTCGTCTCATTTAGACACTTGTTAGCAACCGCAGTTTTTAAATTCACCAGTGGGGTAATTACTTACTTATTTTATGTCGTAGAACAAATCGTTAACATTTCTTCAGCTTGTGTTAACTTCAGACCTTATTTCAGGATAACAACCAAAAACATCCAGACCATGGAGACAGGAAATGCTAAAAATGCTAACTCATATCAGGGTTTCAGGACTCATTCCTGCACCACTATAACTATAACTAATGCTTCTCTGTGTGTTTAGGAGCAGCGTTTCCTCAGCTGTTCGTCTCTGAAGAAGGGCATCAGCCTCCACTGGCACGCGTTGACCGTGGTCCTCTGCACAGCGCTGTTCCTGAACGCCTCGTTCTCCGTGCTGCTCTCCAGCTTCCTGGCTCTCCGGAGGCTCCTTGGCAGCTGCAGAGACCCCCTGCTGAGGGCAGATGCCCGGCGGGCGGCGGTCAGCGTGACGGCCGTGGCGTTGGCGTACATCGTGGGCTTCGTTCCGTACCACGTGGTGCGAGCTCCGTACACTCTGACGCAGACTAAAGTCATCACTGAGTGCAGCGTCAGGAGGAAGCTGTTCCTGGGGAAGGAGGCCACGCTGCTGCTGAGCGTCCTGCATCTCTGCTTCGACCCGCTCATCTTCTATTACCTCCATGAGCCTTTCAGACAGACGGTAAGCAACATGATGCCCTGCTGGAGGAAGAAGAGGAGCGAGGAAGAGGAAGAGGAAGAGGAAGAGGGAAAGGCTGCAGAAGAAGAGGCTGCAGAGGGAAAGGCTACAGTCGAACAAGATCTTCAAACTACTTTGATTTGACCTAAAACATGATCTTTATAGACAATATATTTGATCATATTTTTATATTGCTGTGCCTAAATATTCCCCTGAAGGAGTCTTTGTAAAGTACTGACTCTCGAATGGTGGCACCAAGTCTGGCTGCAGTTTTTATATTTCAGTTTGTACTGTATTTAACTCACCAAAAGCACATGATTTAAAGGTCCCCTATTATACTGTTGTTCATCAATATATCACAGGTCTCAGATATATACAGAACATGTCTCTGATTGGCTGAAACACCAAACAGATCATTGCAGCATCCCATAATCCCCTCTGTTTCAGCCCTGTTTCAAAAGTGCTGATTCTGTGTCTGTTGCTTTAAATGCTAATGAGCTGCTGCTGGCCACGCCCCTCTGAGAGATGATTGGTTTAAAGAAACACAATGGTGTTCTAGGAGGAGATTCTGGTGATGCTGTTTATTACACCATGTTTATTGTTCTGCCCTCTGGTGTTCACAGTGTGTAATAACTTAAAGGGGACCTATCATGCAAAATGCACTTTTGTACGTCTTTTCTACATGAATATGTGTCCCCGGTGTTCCAGAGAACTCACCAAGTGTCAGAAAACACAACCCTCTCTATTTTCCTCCATACCCAAATCTCTAAAAAAGGGGCTGCAACGGATCTGATAAAAACTGATCCAGATTTGAACACTGTCCTGACGTCAGGACGGTGGCGCTACGGCTATTGGGCCAACTCCACCAATCAGGAGGAGACAGCCACGGCCATTGCCGTTCGAAAGCACTGGAGACGCTGTAGTACATATGCCAGGCCTGTAGGTGGTGCTGTTCTCACTGAATCTGCCCTTGCAAAAACAGGGGTACAAAAGTGCACATTGAGCGAAATGAGGCATGGCTAAAATGCATGATCTGTTTGGTATTTTCAACAAAAAAAAGTATAAATATGCCTTATATAGGTATGGTCCTACACTATATTATTCAAATATAGCATGATAGGTCCACTTTAAAGTATATTTTGATGTTGTTTTGCTTTTCACAGAGTATTTCTACACTGATGTATTAAAACATTTACTTAGGTAAAATGTACTTCATCCACCACATATTTACTGTACTGTACTGCATTTTTACTACTCATACTTTACACTTCATAAATAAACTGCTTTTATTTAAATGAAGCTGATAATTATTGTGTCCTTTATTGCTGGTACTACATATAACTACTGATACTCACATTTAGAAAGTTCATATTTGAAAGTTACTATGCTACTACTGTATGTCTATTTTAAAACCTTCCAGTGGTCACAATGTTTTATTTTTAGAGAGTTTTATTTTCAAAGTTAGTGCTGTTTTGAACACCATGTTTATTGTTCTGCCCTCTGGTGGTCACAATGTGTAATTGCAGCCATTGCAATTGCTAATGTGATACACACTGTGACCACCAGAGGGCAGTAAAGACATAACAAATTATTATATATTTGAACAAAAATGAATTGGCAACATGTTAAAGACTTTATTAAAAATATTTGACACATTACAATTGTTTCTCGACCCTTTCCCGCTTTTAGCAAATATGTTGTGCTTTTTTTTGTTTTTGTTTAAATGTCAGTATTTATTGCAGTCAGTTGTCTTTCAAGGAACTAATACCATGTTCAGTAGATGTCTGTTTTGAACTGTCATATCTTATAAAGTGCAGTGAGGGTTAAATAAAAAGAAACACCTACATTTAACATTTCAATGGTTGCTCTTCATGTTTTAGATTCTCATTTTGAATGCTTGATTTTTTATTTCTCTATTTTCCTCAGCCTTTTAGGGAGCCTGAATACAAATCATGTATTTGACATTGATTGATTCTCTTAAACCGTTGTTTATATGAAAAATGAATGCCTTAAATATTGACATTAACACTTTTTATACTGTTTTATACCAGCCGGATAACACTTCAGTTTTCTTCAAATGTTGATATGACATAACAGACAATTTAATTATGAAACAAAGAAAGGCACATGGTTGCCCAGTCATCACAATCCTCTTTCATTTCCTCAACTTACTTCCTTTATTCACTTTGCTTCTTCAACAATAAATACATCTGACATCTGCCTACGTACTATATACATGGCATTTACAAATATATACTTATTTACAATTCTACATACATATTTCTGCATTTACATACATTTCTGTCAGTGTGAAAAATATCCATGATCTTATTGAAGCAAAATTAACTTTTGGATGTGTGAGGTAAAATATAGATTGCTTTCCGTGAAAATGTCTTCTTTATAAGATTCTATATTCGACAATATTTACATAAAACTATAGTCTGGTTCAAATAAAGCGTCATTTCCTTTCCTTGTTTCCTCTGTTATTTCATCCTTGTCTTGTCGTCTCTCCTTGTCTCCTTTCCTTTGTTGTCTCTCCTGTTTCCTCCTCTCCTTTCCCTCTATCTATATATCTATCTATCTATGTATATATCTACCTACCTACCTACCTACCTACCTACCTACCTACCTACCTACCTACCTACCTACCTACCTACCTACCTACCTACCTACCTACCTACCTACCTACCTACCTACCTACCTACCTACCTACCTACCTACCTATCTAACAGTTCTTTCAAAAGCTTAAAAACTGTTTCTTTGGCAAGTAAAGGTTGATAGAGCTGGCGATGCTATGCAAAGTAATTTTAAGTCAACGTGGAAGCGCCAAAGAGCGGACGAGGCATACGGTGAATAGCCTCCTATTCTTGTCTCCTCCCCTCCTTCCCTCACCTCCTCTCCTCTACCCCGCCTAGGTTAGTGACGGACTGTCCGGTGGTGAGCGACCCCCCCCCTCCTCCTCCTTCTCCTCCCCGACAGCTTCCTGAGCAGCGACTCCCTGAAGGTGCGGCACATCAGGAAGTAGATGACGGGGTCGAGGCAGACGTTGAATGCGGAGAGGAAGAGCGTGGCCTCCTTCAGCTGGAACAGCCAGAAGCCGGCGTCCTTGCTGAAGCCCGAATCCGCCCTCTGGTTCAAAGTATACGGGATGCGAAGCACGTGGTACGGAACGAAGCAAACGAAAAACACCGCCAGGAGGCTGAAGATGCTGCGTTTGGACTTCCTGCAGGCGTCGCTTTGCTCGCGGCGAACACGTCGATACGAGCTGTACAGATGGCAGGCGATGGAGGCATAGCAAAAGGAGAGCAGGAACAACGTCAGCCAGAAGAGGGCGTTGTTGAAGTAGGCTAGGAAGTGATGCCACTGCAGGCCGAACGGCGTCTTCAGCTCCATGCAGCGCCGCGCGTTCGTCTCGTTTGCAGGATTGCTGGTGAGGACCACGTTGGGCAGGACAGAAAGCAGCATGAAGACCCAGGTGAGCAGCGCCAGAACCCGAGCGAAGTCCACGCTCTGCAGGAGGTGCAGCTTGGAGGCACTGCACCACTTCGACCTGTAGGGAGGGAAAGAAGTATCCTGTAAGGGTTTACAAAGAATGTACCCTACTGAAGAAGCGTTGCAAAAGGTTTAAGCTAAAAAAAGATTAAGTGGTGGAAAGAATGTAGATATGGGTGTAATAACACACCTTGGCCACCATAACAGGAATGGTTGTAAATAAAGGAAGTTACCCGCAGGTGGAGGTGTTGGAGGACGTGTGTCGGACGATCTTGACGTAGCGCTCGAGGCTGATGAAGCCCATGAAGACCATGCCCACGTACATGGAGAAGTAGAAGAGCACGGCGGTGTAGCGGCAGGTGACCACGTGCATGCGCCACCCCCCCACCCCCAACTCGGCCGCCACCTTGAAGGGGAAGGTGGAGAGCATGAGGAAGTCAGCCACCACCATGTTCTTCAGGTACACCACCAGCCCCGAGTCGCTCGGCACCCGGAAGAAGATGCAGGCGGCGACTCCGTTCAGGACTCCGCCCACAAGACAGGTGAGCAGGTAGAGCGGAGGCAACACCTGCAGGGTGAACACGCTTTTGAAATCTGATTGGTTCCCAGGAGGGAGGGTGGAGTTCTGGAGATCCATGT